AAGACTCCCTAATATCATTATAATTACATGTGCATTATTTGTATCCTTGGTGTGGATGTCATGCGACATACATATGATATTTCGTAGAACCAATTCTCTTGCAATAAAAACTTCAGCACAAGGGATTAACATAAATAATGATTACAACGTGAGAAAAAACTCTTTGCAGTATCATTACCCTTAGACTCCCTAATATCATTATAATTACCTGTGACAAATGAGAGGTTCTTGACATCACCTAAAACTTTTTCGTTGGTGATCTGCTAAACTCATAAAACTAAAAAAAACTACGCATTTTAAAGGATTTTGGGCAACAAGGTATAAGATTAAGAGCTGACAGGCTGAGCTTGTAACAAAATAATGAAGAGTATCAAAAAATAAAAGAGGATTCCTAATAACAACGAAAAGAACACCCGGCATTCACCAGAAATTTGCTTCCACCACGCTTCTTTTTCATCCTGCAGCTGGTTCTCTAAACACATTTCTTTTGAATATTGAACAAGAAATAAAAAATTCTGCACAAGGGATTAACATAAATAATGATTACAACGTGAGAAAAAACTCTTTGCAGTCTCATAACCCTTAGACTCCCTAATATCATAATAATTACCTGTGCATTATTTGTATCCTTCATGTGGATGTCATGCGACATAAATATGATATTTCAAAGAACCAATTCTCTTGCAAGTGTCATTATGACATATATGGAAAGATATCTTTGTCTCAAATTTAGGAATGCGTAAATGAAAATATAAAAAAAATCTAGGGGTAAGAAATGGCTAATTCCTTATACTACATGGAGTTTATTAGCAATTCACAGATGCAACTATATATATAAATGAAACAAGAAACAGATAGCAATATTCCAATCAATAAATCAACAAAGACCATAACCACATGAACATTACAAAATAAAAAACTTTTATTCGTCAATCTCCATATTCCCTGATCAATTTATGAATTCATCTAATACAACCAGTTTGATGCAAGGACAAATGCAAAACTTATTATTATTATTATTATTATTATTACAGAAGAGAGGTTCTAAGTGATCAGATCGCTCGGCAACAACACAAGTTACCGTTCCAGAAAGTTTGACAATGGCCATCAAGATATCCCTCTTTCAAACATTTAGCATTGCAATTTGCAGCGCAGAATCCAAAGCAATCGTATTTTCCCAACGCCTGCACTTTTGCTGAAAATTGCCCAACCAAAAATTTTCAGTATTGGTGTATTAATAAAAATATCAAAGAAAAAAGAACGAGAAAATTGGGAATTACCTGGAATCGAGACACAAATTGCAAATACAACAAGCATCACCAAAATGAATGAGATAGAAAGAGCCATTTTCTGCCCTAGATTTTTTTTCCTCTCTAGAGTCAAGAGTACGTTGGATTCTTCATGAAAGACTGAAAGTTATTTATATATATAGAGCAAGTGATATAGAGAAGGAAATCTATTTAATTTGATTAGCACATCCGAATAAATCTCAGAATCGATTTGATGAGGTGTCTGTATATATTGCATTTAATGCAGACTGATGATACTCAAAATAAAATTGGAGAGAAGTCAAGCTTCTTATATATTTACATATGTCTAGGAAGAAGGTGAAGAACCATTGCATCTACATGGGAGCGCGCGCCACACACCCACACACGCGCCACACACACAACACACACACACATACACCACACACATGTATATATCAAATAAACTATTATATATATACTATATATTATATATAGTATTATAATATACTATATATACCACTAATATATATATATAGTAGTATTTATATAAAGATTTCTCAACATGCATGCAAATCAAATTTGAGAATATTGGATCATTCTATCTATGTATCTTTACTAGGTAATGAAAGGAGGGGAAAAATTCATCTCGATTCGCTCTTATTAAAGTAAGACAGAGAGGGAGAGTCTTGGGTAATTTCCCTTGAGTTGAATATTGAGTGTGCATATATATTTATACAAGTAGAGGAGGGTGATGTATGTGTGTTCTCACAACCAATGTGAGACTAAAACCCACTACAATACACTATTATCCACAGCCCCCTCAAACTCATGTTAGATCAAACAAAGTGAGTTTGCGTACAAGAAACTGGAACCGATGAACAAGTAAGGTCTGTGTGAAGAAATCTGCAAGCTCGTCAGCGGATGAGACATGATGAAGTAGAATTGTTTTGTCAGTAATAACTTGTTGACGGACAAAATGAGCGTCGATCTTAATATGTTTGGTCCTCTCATGAAATACTGAATTATTAGCAATCTGGATGGTACTCTTATTATCACAGTAGAGAGGAGTAGGAGTCGTAATAGAAATACCGAAATCACTGAGAATGCGATGAAGATAAATAATCTTTTTAACTATTGTGAATATTACACGATACTCTGCCTCGGTATTGGAAAGAGCAATAACATCTTGTTTCTTACTCCGCCAGGAAATAAGGGAATCACCAAGAAATATTCAATAACCTGTGATAGACTTCCTGGTAGTGGGATCACCAGCCCAATCAGTATCAGAATATGTACAAAGCTCTAACTTGGATATAGCAGGAAATAGAAAAGAGCGAGTGCTAGTACCCTGAAGATACCAAAGAATCCGTAATAAGGCAGCATATTGAATGGAATGTGGGCCACTAACAAATTAACTGACAAAGCCAACAGCATGAGAGATATCTGATCAAGTGATTCACAGATTGATACGGGTGTATCTTCTCTTCGGAACTTAGCGATCCTCATAGAAGTTTGAGGATAGATGATTCTCATGATAACATGAAAATAGAGGTGTCAAACAGCACAAGGAAACGCAGGAGGAAGCGTGGAATGAGACGACGAGCAGAAGAATCGAAGTATCCAGTTTTCAACCTGTGAGTCGACTCATAACAGTCATGAGTCGACTCATCAGGTTGAGTCGACTCATGACTGTCATGAGTCGACTCATCGCTGATTTTTGAGTTTTGTCCAGTTTTTGACGAGTCGACTCATCTCAGTCATGAGTCGACTCATCGATGGTTTCCTGGTTCGTTTGGGTTTCTGTTCACACGAATTCCTGTTGGTTTTGGGTCTGGTTATTTACCAAATTACCATCCACGTTTGTACACCTATATAAAGGATTGTTTTAGGGTTTCTAAATAATCAAAAGGGAATTAAGAGAGATTCTAATCATTATATTAGGGTTTAGTAAGAATTGAGAGTTTGTTCTCGATTCTAGTGAGATTGTGAGAGAGGGATTGTAATCTTTTCATACTCATAATCTAGAGAAGGTATTTTCCTTCGCCCAAAACCCGAGTTATTCTTGTGTTCTTATTATTTTCTCCTCTACCCACCTTTGATAATTCCGCGATTTTCATCATTAAACAGGGTTAAGAAATTGGGAGCCCTAAAGCCTTCGTTTCTTTCATTCTCCGACGGTTACCCTTCACCTCCGGCAACGCCCTCCCACTCTCTTAAACCATTAATTGCCAACGATGAGTACCCGATGCCCTAAGCCCTCATCATCACCGCACCTCCTCTGCCATCATCTCCTCACTTCTCAGATATTGGGCATCTGTTACGATCATGAATGAGGCTCATTGACGAAGGTATGATTTGCTCATTTTCTAAATTTTAGTTTTTATTTTTAAATGTTTTTTCATCAACGCCTGAGGATCAAACTCCGGCGGCAACTCATGCCCTTTCTGGCATAAATTTCTAATTTATGTCGTTAGATTCGTGTTCTCTTTTGCCTACTTTATGTATTTGCTTTATTTTGAACCCTCAATATATTCTTGAATTTATCTACTTGATCTTGGTTTCTTCATTTGCGTTTGTTGTTGTTGACAGACCTGGACTTCTTATTCCACATGTTTTTCCTTGCTCGATACTGCAAGCTTCTTGAGGAGAACTCATTCAGGGGACGGACTGCAGATTTCTTGTACTCTCCGCTGCCTATTTACCATGAGTTAGTATTTATTTTTGGTTGTATTTAATTAAACTGATTAATGCCTGCTACAAAAGCCTTCTTTTTCTATATTTCCCCCTGTATCAGTTGCGAGGATTTTCTTTGTAGATTGTCCAATATGCTTTTAATTTAATATGTTTAGCCATGTTTCTGGTGATTCTCATGCGACATGATTTTTTCAATAATATTATATGTACATTTTTTAAAATTTAGAATAGTAAGAGGTCGGAGTTGGAATCTCCAGTGGTTCATTCGACGGTCAAGTTAGTACCAAGCCTGAGTGGAGAAGATGACTAAATGTGAAATAGTTTTTTAGGCAGACTTTGCTTACCCTAAGCAGCAGACATCAATTCCCTTTTATAGCAGATCCAAAGGGGCAAAAGGGTAACTTAGGCCGAGTCTAAACAAGCGGCTTTGTTAGCATTTACTCACCTAGGTGTTTAATGCGATGATGACTGGCCGACATGTTTTTTCATATTATCACAGTCTCATATGGTTGAGTAAAATTTTCATTCTTTAACATGTGCAAAGTGGCTATAAAAGATAGAAAAGAACAGGGGAAAGTGTTAGACAACACAGACAGGATGTTAGTTAGTGTTGATATGTTTTCTTGATTTCAATTGAGGAAAAAAAACTACACAAATGTGTTTATATCTCAATTCATTTTCTTCGTGTGGTTGGAAAAGGGTTATTTCATTGTGGTATTTCATTGTAGCTACATCTTCGAGTTTTGCTTTCAAAGTTTGAAATGCCCCTATTCCAGTAACCAATGTTGTTTGTTTATTCTAATTGTTCCTATCTTTTGCAGCAGTGATCAAACCCATGCTGTCTTGACAAGTGCAGCCTTTGTTCATTTAAAGCAAGCAGAAATTACTAAGTATACTCGGAAGCTATCTCATGCAAGTCGAGCCATTCTACTCTCAAGCCCTGCAGGTAATCACCCAAGTTTGAAATATGTAGTGTGCTATTTAAGCATTTTAGCTATATGTATATTTTATGCTCCATACTGATTGTAGAGATACGTATTTGAAGAGCTATATCAACAGATGCTTGCAAAGGCACTAGCGCATCACTTTGAGGCCAAACTATTGTTGCTAGATATAACTGACTTCTCTCTCAAGGTCAGTAGATGAAATTTTATTGTTTTAAATCCTTCTTTTGTATGGTGTTTAAATGTGTATGATTTTAATACCAGTAATTGGCAATTGTTACAGATGCAGAGCAAATATGGTCATGGCAATAAAGATTCAGTAAGAAATTCTTTCCTTATCATCACATATTTCTTATTCTATCTCTCGAATTTTGTGCATCCTGCAGAGTTAATATCTATCTGTCTTTCTTTTTGATGGATGCACATTTTAGCAGTTTATCTATTTTTCAATCTTTATTTCCTCCTTTTTCCTGAAGGAGCATGATAATTTTTTGAAGTTATACGCATATTCCGTTTGAAACATTACCTTGGGTTCATTCATGTTGATGTCACGGATTACACACCTGATGTAGTTGAATGATGAATTACATGGAGTTTTTTTGGTAAATGAGAAATTTTATTCACCACCAAATTGGAAAAATGTTAGTACATCATGATCTCATCATATGAGTGAGATAACAAAACCTAAATCTAAAGCCCAAAATAACCTGAGCTTACAATTAGCAAAGAGTTAAACATACTCTATTTCCCTCCGCCAGGGTCCTTCAAAGCTTACTTTCCTCTTAAAAACTCAGCAATATTGGATGCTGCTCTTTTACAGAGAGAGGAGCCATACTCTATCTTCCTCCAAAATAGAAATATTTAGGTTGTTGATCAATATGTCCATCTTGATATTATTAGCCAATTGCTCAACACCTTTGGTCTTAGATTAGAAAATTCTTGCATTCCTTTCACACCAAATTCTGTAGATAGCGGCAGATAAAGCCATTCTTTTTAATGCCCTGTTTAAAGCCATTTCCTCTCAGTCTGGTGCAGAACCACTTCATAAGGAGATTCCAGTCACAAGATTTCCAAGAGAATTGAAGCCAATCCATTATATTATTCCATATCTCCCTAGAGAAGCTGCAATCAAAGAAGAGATGATCACGGCTCTCTAAATTACCACCTGAGCATAAGCAGCAGACATTTTCATTTATAATGCCTCTTCTCAACAACCTGTCCTGAGTGAGTAATTTGTTTTGGACAGCTAACCAGCATATAAATGCATGCTTTGGGTAGCATCTCTTATCCCACACAGTAATATGCCATGGAACTGCATATGTTACAGGGGATATGGCATGATATACTGCAGATACTTGTAATTTGGAGTTGATTGTACAGGAATTTAGAAGTTGTATTAGATTCTCCACTCCTCCACAGTATTGAACAGCTTTATCTCTGGCTTTCAGTAACTGTTTCCACATCCAGGAATCATCAGATTTTACACTCACATTCCAGATATCTCCACGTCTTAAATAGGTCCCATGAACCCATCTGATCCAGAGGGACTCTTTATTGATATGGAAATGCCATAGTAATTTTAGAGCAGCTGTCTGGTTCCAAGTAGAGACTGAGTATACTCCTAACCCACCTTTCTTCTTTCCCTGACATACCCTTGCCCAGGTGATACGGGTGTATCTTCTCTTCGGGAGCTTAGCGATCCTCATGGGAGCTTGGGGATAGATGATTCTCATGGTATCTTGAGAATAGAGTAGAGGAGTCGTAGACGAGGCCATTGGAAGCAACGAAGTCGAAAGGATTCATCAAAACTGCAGAAATTACAGTTGGACTCTGTCATTTCTCAGCATGTCTAAATTCCTGGAAAGGTATTCCATACCCAATATGAAGAGATAAGGAGAAAGAGGGTCTCCTTGTCTCAAGCCTCTCTCGCCCTTGAAGTATCCATGGAGGGATCCATTGAGGGATATGGAGAATTTTGGATTAGTTATACAAGCCATGACCCAAGTAATCAACAGTTCTGGAAACCCCAGCCCCTTAAGCATTTCTTGAATGAACTTCCAACTGATAGTGTCAAAAGCCTTTTTAATATCTATGTTTAGCATGATTCTGGGGGAAATATGCTTCCTATTATATCCTTTAACTAGATCATGTGCTAACAAGATGTTACTTGTTATATGCCTTCCTTTAATAAATGCATTTTGTGCTTCATTCACCAGAAATCACATGACAGATTTGATCCTGTTAGCTAAGATTTTAGAAATGATCTTGTATAGGCAATTGCAACAAGAAATGGGCCTGAAATCTGAGGGAGTTTTGGGACACTTCACTTTGGGGATAAGTGTTAAGGAGGTTGAGTTTACCACACCCAGCAATTTTCCAGTTTTGAAAAAATCCTCAATGGCGAGAGTGACATCATCACCTATTATTGACCATGTAGATTTGAAGAATAAGGCCCTAAAACCATCTGGACCTGGGGATTTATTATCATCCATAGAGAATAGTGCATCTTTGATTTCATCTTTGGATACTGATTTTGATAGTAAGCTGGCCTGTGATACAGACAGACAGGGGCCAGAATTAATAACCCTTGTATCTGGTGTTATTGTATCAATTGAAACTCCCATGAGATTTTTGTAATAGGACACCAATTCCCTTGCAATTTCCTCCCCCTCAGTTAATCTTTGTCCCTGACAGTTATAAAGGACCATTATTTTGTTCCTGTTGATAAAAGAAGGATTTAAAGGGTATGCTTGGAGATTTTTTGGACCTCTTCCAGAGAATGTTTTGCTCTTTGAACTTGTTCACTTATGTTACTGAAATGCCTCTTGTTGAGATCTTTTAATGCACCTCTAAGATGTTTCAGTTTTGTGCATACTAAATACATTTTGTAACCTGAAATTTCAGATTGCCAGATTTCTGAAACAGTAGGTATGAACTTCTCATGCTTTGTCCACATATTAAAGAACTTAAAAGGTCATTTGCCTTGGACATTATCCTCAAAAATAAAGATCAGAGCAGGAGAGTGGTCTGAGAAGCTAGGTAGTAGGTATTCCACTTGGCTAGAACAAAACATGTGTAACCAAGAGTCATTCACCAAAGTTCTATCCAATCTACTCCAAATTCTAGAGTTTGCATCTTGTTTTTTGTTCCATGTGTAAAAACATCCAGTAGTATTAAGGTGATTGAGCTGACGGTCATATATAAAATCTCTGAAATCACTAAAATCAGCCTCTGAAAGCAATGTACCTCCAATTTTCTCTTCATTGTTGATAACTGAGTTAAAATCCCCACTTAGGAGCCATGGAGAATTACCAATAGCTTGGAATACATCCTTCAACTCTGACCATAAACTCCTTCTGGCACTTATTTGATTAAACCCATACACTGCTGAGAAGTAGCTCTCAAATCTTCCATCCAATGATTTGGCCTTACAAGTGATATGTTGAGATGATAATACTTCAACTTTAATATCCAGAATATTGGGATCCCACATAATAATAATCCTTGCTTTTCCAGCAAAATTTATATTTGATATCCAACTCCAGTTTTTGCTATTTTCCTGTCAATAATAGGCAAATTGTTATCATTAATCTTTGTTTCTAGTATAGCTTGACAAGAAATGTGATATTGAGATATATGGTTTTTCACTAAAAGTTGCTTAGAGGATTTGTTCAATCCCCTAACATTCCAAAAGGAGAAAATCATCCTAACTGCTTCTCTCTATCAATAGAGGGATTATTATCCAGAACATCCAGGAGAGATAGAGAATTATCAATCCCAATAGGTTGCTTTTGAGCCTTCCTTTGGATTTTCACCCAGGGACCCTCAGATTGATATAGGGATGTTCCACCACTTCCCTGTTGTAAAACGTGCACAGCATGCACAGCCCCTGAATTCAGGTAGGATGAACAGTCACCTTTAGTTAGCATGCCTCCACTTGACTTGAGATTCACATCTATAGGATTTGATAATAGTTGCTGCAAATGATCAGTTTGTACAACACCTGAGCAACTTGAGATTCACATCTATAGGATTTGATAATAGTTGCTGCAAATGATCAGTTTGTACAACACCTGAGCAAAATCTGTTTCCTTCCTGTCTCTGCAGGTTTATTGTGCCCCCACCTGCAGTCAGGTGCCTTTCTTGACTATGAGTATACATAGCCTCTAAACAAACATGTTTACCAGATCCCTTAGCTTGTTTATGGACTGAAGTCTCATAATTCACCAGGTTAGCATGTGCAACATGCATAGGAGATTTAATACCATAGCCCTTATCTAGCAAGTCCTCATCAATAGCCAGACTCTGAGAAACTGGCTTATCATACTCAGAATTCATCTGTGCTTTATTATCAACTTTTTGCTTTGGAATCCATTTTTGGACTTTGGGATGTTTTTTACAAAAGTTTGAATCATGTCCTATAACTTTGCACCAGTCACACCATCTAGGCTTATATTCATAAATCACCCTTTGTTTATATTTATTTCCATCAGGTCCTTTTATGGTGATATGGTCAGGGAGAGGACATGGCAATTTCACCTCCACCAATACCCTAGCATATGCCAAACGTTGTTTATTTGCAGTAAGCTTGTCTGTTGCAATAGGCTTTCCTATCATACTAGCAATTTTGCTAATTCCTTTAGCATTCCACAAATTAAGCCTTAGAGCTGGTAATTGAATCCACAGAGGATAAATGCATTCATCTGACTTACCAATTTCCTCCCCAATAGTCCAAGGTTTCAACAGAAATGGTCGTGAGCCAAAGAACCAAGGACCCCTACCTAAGATTTCGTTCATATCATCTTTGCTTTTGAATTTGAACAGAAATAATCCTGGTTTGAGAAGGCAAATATCAGGTATAGGAGACCAAAGCTTATGAACATAGCTCTCCATAGCCTTAAATCTAATATTAACTCCCAAAACCTGGCCAATTAAGGAGAAATTCCACATAGAAACTCCTTCATTCCATTCCTCATCATTGAAGATAACAGTATCTTTATCCTCTGATGGCAAATAATCCAGATTCATTCCATTCCCTGCCTTCCTGTTGTCAGCAAATAAACTAGACCAACTTTTTGTGACATTCTCTGTAGATGAATTGGGCGCTAGTTTATCATCTGAGGCAAATTTTGTAGATTCCTCACGATTCAAGGGGGGGAAATTTGAGCCATTTGGTTCAAGAAAATCAAGATCTGCTTTCTGAACCAAAGAAACCCTAGTAACTGACTCCTTAGGGACATTAATCCCCTCATTAACCAGTTTTGAGTGTTGAGAATAAGAAACAGAGGAATCATTCTCCATCTCGGATTCTTGAGCCCA